AGCCATGTTATATATGGTTGTAAATGTTGAGCTTTAAAGGAACAACAAGAGCTTAAAGTTAGAGTAACAAATATGAGAATGTTAAAATATGTATGTAGGCATATAGGAAAAGATAAATTTAAAATCAGTATATGTGATAAATAGTGAGCATGACCTCTATATATTGAGAGAAAGATGATAAAAAATCATTTGATATGATTTGGTTATGTACATAGAAAGCTATAGGAGGCACCGATGAAAAGAGTAAAATAGATAGTCTTGAATTCTATAAAAAGAATTAGAAGAAGACCAAAGAAAATATTCTTGAAATTTGTTGAACAAAACTTCTTAATTAATAATAATCATAAAAGCTTAATTAATAGTAGAATATAATGGCACTATTTATGTAGTTGACCTTACCTAGTAGGATAAGCTAGGTTTGTTTTTGTTATTGCTGTGTTTAATTTTAAAATATTGCAAATAAAATTATGAAACATGGAGTATTGTAAATAAAAATAAATATGTTAAAAAAAAATGAATAAGTTATGGGAGTTCTGTTGTAGATATTTACCTACAGGAGTGTCGGTAGATGGATCTATAGTCGTAGGCCCACCTATTGAAGCACTTCAGGAATATTCACAAATGGAGCACTTTCAAAGCACTCCTGGAGGCTTTTTTTTTGTAGTACTGTGTATTGAATGGGCATGATCCTAACGTGGGCTTGAACCTTGGAGCACTTTATCATAATGGGCTATATGGTTATTACAGAAGAGTAAGGGTTTATAATTGGTCCGAATGGGCTAGACTGCTAGTTTTGGTTGGGGGGGGGGGGTTGATTTGTGTTTGTCTTCTCCGATGGAGGGGACCAAAGAATCCATGAATGATGAGGAACATTGCTTTAATTGTGACACGTGTTAAAGTTAAATCGCAGCCGCTTATTCCGGGACCATGCTAGCAGCAACTATGTAGGGGACCAATTTTGACTTTTTTTGGTAGGGGACCAAATTAAAATGGTTGAAAGCATAGATTAAAAAACCAAATTGAATCAGACAGTCGGAGTAATTTGAATTTTGTAAGAATCAGTATGTAAAAATTATTTTAAAAGTTGAGTTAGGTCGAGACATTTTGAATCAACGATTGGATCGAAAACTGAAATCAAGCTGAAAACCAGAATCAAATTTCAAAAATCAGATTGTTCAAAAAAATATTTTTTTATTTTTTATCAAATTTTTTAAAAAAATGACAACTTTTTTAATCATTTTGATATTATGTTGTATTATATGGATTGTTAAATCATAATAAACTTAAAATATTTAATTTTATTTTTAAGTTAAGTAATAATTTTATATTTATTTCTTATATTTAGATCATTATATATAATTTTTTAATTTAATTATTACGTTACGAAATTTAATCACTAATCCAACCCAATTAAACTATATAAATCATGAATCACTTACATTTTCAATTTAATATCTAAGTTGGTTTTGAAAATATTGGTTGAAAGTGAAATATTGGCTTGTTTCTTTGAATTTCCTTTTGTTTTTTTTTGGACAATCCTTTGTATCGTGTTAAATGTGAAGTTTCATGTTTTAATGATTCAAAGATCATGCTGCGGCCACTTGTCAATGTCAGGGGACCAGGATCGACCGTCTCGTCATCATGTTGAGTTGATAAATTTTAAGCTGTCAGCAATGAAGTCTGTCGTACTCCTTTGGTTAAAAATATAAAATTATTTTAAATATTTTTTTTAAATGTCCTTATTAAATAAATTATTTTATATTTATTTTAAAATAAAATATTCTATTAAATAAGAATAAATATAAAAAATAAAATTAATTTAAAAATAAATAATTACTTTATTAAAAGATGATATTTAATTAAAAATACTTTATATTATTTAATAAAAAGAGTATATATTAAGTTAAAAGACATTTATGTTATCAATTATTTATTCAAAAGCGTATTATATCTTAAATTTACATGTAGTATAAGAATCTTGTTTAAAGTAGTGTAACTAAAAGCCTATAGTAACAGTTTGCTCACCCTATTGCCATGCTTCATGAAAACAATTGCCTATAATGTGACCACTGAAAACAGTTCTCACATGTCAATCTAATTCAATAGTTTCGAAATGTTATTTTTTTATATGAATAGGCACCAACTAAGAATCGTTGTGTAAATATAAAATAAATAAAATTTAATATTTCTTTCTTTCTTTAAGATTTAAACCTACCTCTTGAATGCAAATCATAAATCCACTCTTCTAACATTATTATCGTTTTCTCATCAATAAATAACGCAGCTAACCCTTTCTCTAGATGTCCTATTTTCTTCTTTACCATTAAAAAAAAAAATAAATTCCAAACGCCCTTTTCAATGCACGGAGGGTTGTTCTGTTATCAATAACTGTTAATAATTTATAATTAATATTCTGACGAATCATGAGAATTAATTGTCAAAAGAGCGTAGACCCACAGGGGTAATCGGGTAAAACATTAAGTGAAGGACTGAGGAGAAAATTATTTATTTATTTACAGCAAAACTTATGTTTCCTCTCTAATCCATCACTGTTCCCTGCAAAATTTGCTTCCTACTTTTTGATCCTTTTCCCTTTAGCAAGTTAAAGCAAAGGAATTCAATTTTCTATTCATAAATTCATGTTAATGGCTTCCAAAAGGTTCCCATAAGTTCATGTTATTGGAGTACTTGCCTCTAATCGCAGCGACATGATGTGCAAAAAGCTAAATCCAATGGATAATATTTAAAATAAAATTATCAACTAATATCATAAAAAAAATAGAACTCTTAACCAATAGATGTTGGCTTGCCAGTGAAAGGAGTTATGACTACATAAGTAAGAGGTACTGAGCTCCAGTCCATATGCACGTAGAAACACCTTTGAGAGAGCTAATTAACCTAATTGGGCCATATTTAAAAAAAAAAATTAGAATTCTTGTCACTTTTAACTAGAGATGAGATTTATTAGAGTTTTTATATTATTTTGTTAATATTTTTTATTCATCAACTGCCCATGATGTGGTTTTATTATAATTAATTATTATTAATTTTTCATTAATTGTCAACACTTGTGGAAGGGGATATGGCCATATAAGTAAGAGAGCTACTCTAAATTGAATTTGATTCAGTCACATACTTGTATAAATAATAATAATAATAATAATAATAATAATAATAATAATAATTTGTTGCTTTAACCTCATAGGAGATGAGATTTGTTTGAGTTTTTATATTAGTTTGTTAATATAATTTTTTTTTTCATTTATCAAGTGCCCGTGTTGTTATAATTATCACAATTTTCTGGCACTTCGGCCTTCCCATGCCTCATCTTTATAAACAGACACCATCCACAGCACCATGAACACACCAACCCAAACAAAAAAGAAAACCACCATCTTACCCTCCAAAAACCAAGTTCTCGTTCGCCTTCTCTCTCTACTCACAATGTCCTCCATCTTCGAGCCCTCCCATGCTGATGAATTCTGTCCCTTAAACATCCCCGGTGGCAAAATCGCCATCTTCTGGTGAGACGAGCCAGAAGGCACCTTAACAGAAGCGTGTGACTCTGATCTCTACGACATCGTCGCTCTTGCATACCCCCATGTGTCAGGCATCTCAAGACCCATAGTTTTCAATGGCCACTGTTCTGGCGACCAATGCAAAGCCCTAGCATCGCAAATTCAACACTGTCAAAGTAAAGGCATCCAAGTCTTGCTTTCCGTCGAAGTAAGACCAAATCGATGACCCCTAATCCTTAGCAGAGTATCTTTACAATACCTTAGTGGCCAAGACGGCCCTCTCGGTGCAGTGGCCTAAGATGGCATCGATCTTGCAAATCTTGATTACAGCACTGAGCCACGGGCCAAACTTGGGGAGGCAATCCATGGTTATTCGGGCAAAGGCAGAAGGATTTAAATGCCAGGATCTACACATTGCGATATCACTGCCTTCGACAGCGCACTCGCTCCTGGTCATGTGGATTATCTTTGTTTTATACTATGGCCAATACGCCACATGCGAATATTTAGAAGACGGTGACTTCACAAAGCTTCTTAATTCGTGGCCGACATGGACGACTAAGGAAGGTGTAGCTGATCATACTCCTGTGTTCTTGGGCTTAGTATCGTCAAGTGATAAATCTGCAGCATCCTATGGTTACATATCACCAGAAGATCTCAAGTCCAAGGTCCTTCCGACCGTGATGGAATCTTCCAACTTTGGCGGAGTGATGCTCTGGAACAGGTGCTATGATAAGCTAACAGGCTATAGTGCTAAGATTAAGGACGCTTTAGGCCCACAAGTTTGTCAATGTGAATACCATGATGCTGCCCCGAAGAGACTCTATAGTCTCTTGGCCAAATCTATGTAAGTTGGGATGTACTATAGCTATGCCTAGGCTTGCATGCGAGTATGTGTGCGAGACTGCTATCTATATGCATGTTTGACTACAACCATGCATGTAATGGATATTGAGACTGTAATGAATGGCCCTTGTGCCCTTTATCTTGAGTGCACTACTGGATTCTTAATGACATAAGGTGATGCCACATACACTCATACACACTTGCACAGATTCGAATAGAAGGAGAGGTTAGGGAGAAACTAAAACAGAGAGAGAGCTATCAGAATTTTACTCATGATATCCATTCATTCATCTATTCATCAAAGTGTGTCTTCACATAATGCTAGTGCTCAATTTATAGAGCAAAGTTTCCAACTCACTTGCGAAAGTGATAATGAGCTCCTAGCTTGAAAGATAATAATAAGCTACAACCTAGTTTTCTTCATGAAGGAAAGCCAAAGCAAAACACAGTAAAGCCATAAGCTATGAGCCTAGGTTTCTTTTAGAAGAAGAAAACTTACAACCAAAATAACATAAAAGCTACTTCCTTCTAAAGTAGTGTTGCCCATATTTTCTATCATAAGGCTTTCTCAAATTCTTAATAATTGGTTTGTTTCATTATCACAGTACATATAAAATATCTTGAATGCACGCATTCATGTATGAGTATGCAGTTATTTTAATAGTCCTAAGCCTAATAAAGGCTGCAGTTGCCATTGGTGGTTTGGCTTTTTCTCTTGTTCGTGTTCCAACTGAGGTAGTTAGCCTTTTCTCTTACACTGTCATATTTTTTCGAACTTTCTTGAGCTTGGAATTGAATCATTTGATTCCAATGCTTATAGGTTGTTAAGCAAAGAATGCAAACTGGACAGTTTAGTTCATCTGCTGCTGCTGTCCGTCTCATTGTCGCCAAGGAGGGTTTCAACGGTCTATATGCGCTATGTAATGCCTGGTTGCAACTTGCATGTTGCGGGAATGGCCATTTAATATGTGTATTACAACTGGCTAAGCAGATTATAGCAGCTGTAACATCTTCTCCTAGTATATATTCTTTTGTTCATATCCCCAATATGGAAAGGGGAAAAAAACAACTTTAGGATGGTTTATGTCAGAGTGTGTATGAATATGTTGATGTATGCTGGGCTATGATGACAACTGCACTGCCATTTTTTGCTGAGCTATTTAATAATTAGGTATAGGAGGACCATGTGCAAACCTTGCTCTTGTTTTGTTTTCCTTGGCTTACGTTTTATTTTCCTGATATTGCAGGGATATAAATCCTTCCTATTGCGAGATTTGCCATTTGATGCCATACAATTTTGCATATATAAGCAGCTTCGGATAGGCTATAAGTTAACGGTAATAACAGATGAGGCCTCGAGGTTTAAGGATATTTTGATTGGGTTTAAATTAACTATAAATGAAACTTCAGGTTCATGTAACGGGATATTCCACAAAACTAACATAATTATGTTCATCGCAACGCTGCCATTCAATTTATAATACTTATGGGATTTTTTGGCATCATTTTGTAGGATATTATGGCAAATTAAGATTGTAGAAAGTGGTAATTGTCAAAATTTGGTTTTGCACTCTGTGCAGGCCGAAAGAGATCTGAATGATCCAGAGAATGTTATGCTTGGTGCTTTTGCTGGTACTTCATGTCCATTACTTTTTTTTTTTTTGGGGCTGAAACTTGAAAGTACATTGCCTTCTCTTAATTTAGCGGGTATTTGATTTCATGTTGGAAACCTGGGTCAACCGGGTAAATCAGTCACTTGGTCAGTCTTGTCTATCAATCAATCCGGGATCAACCCAACCCAGTTTAACTTGGTTAACCTAGTGTAATTTGGCAAACCCAGTAGGTTGGGTGTGTCACGTCTCAAAAATTAAATATGACCAACATGAGATATATATACAAACATACATCCTTTAAGCTTTAGTCAAGAAAACTTTAATATAATACTTTAATTCATTTAAAGTAAAGTGAGAAGTCATTGTAACGTTTTTATATAAACAAAAGATTCCTAAACTTTTTGTAAAAATTTTAACAGCATCACCCCTATAAGACCTCTCAAAAACTCTACAATAAAATTTTAGAGAAAATACTACAACAACTAGGAACTCTGCTCCTTCTAGCCAACAAAGTATATAATAACAATAGAACTCTAACTATGACCTATGTGGACCACCTAGCCATATTTTCAAAATGAAAAATATAAATTTTATAATTACATTAAAAGGAAATAATTTTAGTCAAATCTCCATCTGGCTCAGATATAAGACCCTCAAAAGTCAGCAAGAGGTTCAACATCATTTAATAAATCTATGACCAAAAATAGCTTTCCAGTGAATAACGTCCCAATTTAAAATTAAAAAAAAATAAAAGGAGGAAATATTTATAAACCAGTTATGAGTTCCACAATAATAACCATTATTATAATGAAAACACATTGCATAGCGTAAACAGTCTTATGTAAACCAAATAGACACATAGTCAATTAAAGGCAATAAAGAAATTTTCAAGCTATAACCTTTGTTTTACAATTGAATTATATAATTTCACCTTATGAAACCATGTATGATCAAATAACAATTTACTTAATAGAAAAAGAAATTAAAAAAAAAGACAATAACTTCCTAAAATTTCACATTTCAATGAGACTTTACCAGAACGATTGACAAGCGTAAACACAAAGTTCACAAGGATAAATAGCCAACAAGCATAGGCACACAATCTACGAGGGTAAGTAACCAAGCGCAGCCAGAAGCCACAAAACAAGCGCGGCTAGAAGCCATGGAACAAGTGCAAGCACAAGGCCTATGAAAACAAGAATGAGTATAATGTTCATGAATTACCATCCTTACCTTCCACGTGCGTTGGCCATCGCATAGGGTTAGCACCTCCTAAGCACCCTACTAGCTAGGTGTACTATGGTGTGTTAAGGGTTAATGGTACTGCCCTTAGAAACCAGTATTCTAATTCAATCTCACATTTCAAATCAAACATGCATGAGTCTCAAATCAACATATTATCTTTTTTCAAAATTACTTATCAAACTTAATCTATATATAAATTTCGTGTGTGAATCATAATAGTTAATCATCCCGTACACATAAATCAAACAAAGCAATTATTTTCATATATTCATTTGAAAATATAACTCCAAATCTTTCTATTTAATCGATTATATTGAAAACATTTTTAAGTACAATAGTCAATAATCAAATTTAAAATCATAACCCATTAAATAAGACTAAATTAAAATACTCAATCATTTATCCTTAAGAAATGAAAAGAATTATATAAATAAAGGAGGTGGCTTGTGAATACATTCAATTAATAGTTTTAAGAAAATAAATTTGTTAATAAGTTATTAGGATGCTATCCACTTACTTGAGAAGATCCCAAGATAATAATTTGCTCCATCTAAACACCTATCAATTGCCTTTCGGCTATTTTATTATCTAGATATGAAGAACAAACAACTTTACTTAATAATAACTCTACTTCATATATCTCCAATAGAAATGCATGAACCCAACATATGGTCAAGAATTTACTAAAGTTTTCTCAATCCTTATTTGTCCCTAACCCATCAGCCATAATTAAAAATTATCTTCTTATTTCTTTATCTAACCTGAAATGATATCCTTGCTCACTCATGCCTTCTCTTGTTAACCAATATATGATTTACAACCAAGGCTCCTCAATAATTCTTCACATGCACAAAGCATGTACAATTTCTTTTCTTACACTTACAAATTTTTGGACATCAACTCAAACTCACTAAAATATTTCAGGATACTATTCAACAAATCAATGAACACATTCCCAATTCAAATCCTTGACAAATTTAAAAGAAAATAATTTAACATTAATTTTTTAAGAAAGAAACATTGAATTTAATCAATCGTGTGTGTGTTCAAGCAATATTTGTATCTTCCTAAGTATCAACATAAAGATTGGACCACCTAAATCCTAAATTTCAGTCCTTACTCCACTTAATAGACTTGATTACTTCAATCCAACTCTTCTATGCATTTTAACAAACACCTTGTGGGCATTAATATACAAACTATATCATCAAGTTTCTTACTCTCCAAATTTCTTGCTCAATAATTCCTAAACATTTATATAAATTTCTATGCTTCCCAAACCTGTGTCTTTATCAAAAATCCATTCAAAGTAAACTAAAATGCTTCCTTTTCCTTTGCCGACTACATATAAATTATAATAGGAAAACCTACCAAAATAAACTATTGACTTGCCAATCTTAGTTTCCACTAAAATCGTACTCCTCTCCTACTACGTACATCAGCTAAAAAAGTAGAAGAACTACATTTCATATCCATTCACCCTAAAGGATACGCACATGGCAAGAGTAGAGAAGGAAGAAAAAGATTTTGAACCTACATACACACTGCATCAGATCAGCAAGGACGTGAATGAATAAGATAGAATAGGAAGACCTACTAATTAAGAAGAAGATTCCAGTGACGCAAACCAAGCAGAGGGAGATGAAGAATCGGGCGACGCGAACAAAAGAGGAGGAAGAAAAATCCAGCACGCCCTATGAAGACCTGCAGCGGCGACAAACTGAACTCCTCCACACATATGCGTCGGCGAAGGACTGAAACACGGAGAAGGTGGAGAAAGAAGTCTCTCGAAGTGCTCTGTCCCACTCGCTTTGCTGCGATCGGGAAAATGGAAGGGAATGGGAAAACCTGATGTTGTTTTATTTTTGATAGAGGGGCATTATAGTAATTTTATTTGATTAAATCAAAATACAATGTCTGCCCCAACAACAGAAGGATTCGAACCCACAACCTAAAGGTAAGGGACAAGAAAAAAATTCCACCGCATCATTGGCAGACCTTGACACATCAACTCAAAAATTGCAAGGCTACAACCAATTTTGCTATTATTAATTTAAATATTATTTTCAATTTTCAAGGTTATTACAGGTTGCAAATCATATATATATATATATATATTGCCCCTCCTAAGTCCAAAGCCTAAAATGACGTTTTGATTTTTTTTTTTAAAAAAAGGAAATAATACATTCATGATTTTAATTTGGGGTTGAAAGTTATGTTAAAATGATTGTGTAATTGCCTTGAAATTTGCTCTATCATATGGCTGTGAAATTTTCAAAATGTACAGATTGATATGCTGCTGTTTTGATTTATTAATGTGGCAAAATGGCATTCCATTCTATGAATTTGTACAATAGTGCTAGAAATCATAAACAAATATAAATATTTCTATATATTTTAGCTGGTGGGACTGCTAACTTTTAAACCATTACTTTGTCCATTTCAATTATTGATTCAGTTTTCACTATCTTGGTTGAAAATGATAATGGTTAATTGGATAACTTGCAGGTGCTGTAATTGGAGAAGTTACTACTCCTCTGGATGTTGTAAAAACCAAATTGATGGTTCAAGTTCAAACAATCTACCTTATTTATCACTCCCCATGAAACATGTTTGATCAGTGGTTATGGTTTGCTTTGTGATTTAACATTTGTTGTACCACTCGTCAGGGATCACAAAGCCATTATAAAATTACAAAAGTAAATTTGTAAAATATCAATATTGAGTTTTATTTGCATGCATAATATTGTCTTAAATTGTCTTATAATTTAAGATGAAGGGAATACTGTTTTACCCTCATTATTTTTTTTTCATTTTTCATTTTCTTTTTCACTCTTTTTTTTTTAACCTTATAGAGGGCATGGAGTCTAGAATTTTGTGGCTAGGCATTTAAAGTTCAATTTTCTTTGGTGTTCTTGAGAAAACAAAATAAATTCTTGCTCAAAGGCACCAGCAAGATGAGGCCAAGAATCTAATATGTTATGTAGCGCCTAAATGATCTGATGCTCTAAATTCATAAGTTTTGTAGCATTCATGCTTTTCTTTCATTTAGGAAATTCATTAATTTCCTTGACCTTAATTCTGATGATTTCATTTTTAAAGAGAGTGCAGAAATAGAAGTTTGAATGTAATAATAACATGTTTTTCCATATAATTAATTATTAGGTAAATGTGCATTTTTTCCATTGATATTTTCTCTCAAGAACAACTAGAACTATTAAGTATTTCATGTAGCATTTTTGCCTTTTAAATAATCAATTTGGAGCACCTGTTACCTTGATGTTAAATCATGACAAACATCCATTAAATCAAATCTTGTGGGCCCTATTTTATGCGATATATGGCTGTTAGTAGTTGAGGCAGAAGGTGTTGGCAAATCCAACTTTAATTTTTTTAATAAATTCTCCCACCAACTTAACTTACAGACACCAAATAAATTCATCAACTCACCAAGAGAGAGGAAGATGACATTAATGAGATGGACGTCATAGAAAGATCATTACTATGGCTTTGCGAGCAAACTTGACAGCATATTCTTCTTCATCCTTGTCAAGAAATAGTCGAAGGACGATGGCATTGCTAAGGCAAAGAGGAGGTGACATCGAATACGAAGGTGAGAAAATGTTGTGTCATTGCAGCATGATGTCTACAAAGTGGATATCATGGATTGAGGGTAATTTGTGCCAAAGGTTCAATGGGTGTCACTACTATTACTAGGTATGCGTAAATGCATCTGGGTTGTTTGATTCTAATATGAAATATTAGGTATTTACTGGACCTTGTTGTGAGTTTATCTTGTGATAGAGAGGGGGTTATGGCTTCTTCTCATGGCACAATGATAATCTTGGGCAAAGGTCGAAGGTAGTCATCAATGAGCTACTGGGTCATCTTAACAAATTAGAAGAGAAGGCAATATTGAGAGGAAGAACAAAGATGAGTGGTTTAATAGCTTAGCTCGATGGCATCCACAACAATTGAAGAAGTTGAAGGCAAAAAAGGGGAGGAATTAGATGGAATTGATAAATGAGAGAAGGAAGTTGAAATTTGCAATCCTAGCATTAATGTGCGCATGGATACTCTCTGCATTTTGTAAAATGACATGGGTGGTGTGTAAAAAGTGTGTGACAATAGTTAATGTATTTGAAATTTCGAACCCTTATTTACGTATGGTAAGCACTAAATGAAATTTTGAACCCCTATTTATCATTTTGTTTTAATTGAACCTATACAATACAATATACACATTAAACAAATAAGGTTCTAGCATAAATAATTCATCATCTTCAATTTGGATAAAGGTATTAAATAACTTAATCTGTACACTACAATATGTGTGTGTGTGTGTGTGTAATAAACATGTTCATGCATTAAATACTGATTCAAAAATAAATTGTTTGAGCCTATTACAACAAATGAAAAAGTACAAGTCACATAATAAGCTTTTCAACATAATAATGATCATTTCAAAAGTTGCTATAACTAACCATAATGGGCCTCATATCAAATAGAAAACACAAGTGACCAAAACCAAGTAAAGTGGTCATAACTAAGTTTAATAATAAGTCACTGATATACAACCATAGAACCAAGTGACAAACTTAAATGCAAGAGATCCAAGTGACCTAATCTAAATTCCTCCCTTCCTTATCTTCAATTTCTACAACCCAATCCTCTTTTGCTTGAGTGACTTAAGATGTAACCTTATGACACTATCATGTGTCCCACTCACTTGACTCCAGGTGCTTTGAAAGGAAGGTTTGAAGATTATTTCACTTTGAATCTATCCCTATTGAAATGTGTTCTCCTCAAGGCACTTATAGAGATTGTTTGAGTTTTCTACTTCTTGAGCTCTTTTTCATTTGGAATGGAAAATTTAGTTTTAACGTTTGCACAGCACTCCATATATTTTTGCTACAATCCCCTCCTCAATCACAATCTCAAAACTAAGACCAAGCTACACAAATAAACCGTGAAATCATAGTAATCAATAATACCAAATGACAAGCATAGAAGTTAAAAAACCACTAAACAAAAGAAAACTACAGTGACCTCCCATTCTATTTTACTAAAATTATAGGGACCTTTTTTTTATTTTAAAAGATACAATTTAGTCTAATTTTTAACACCATTAAGAATATTTTGTTAAATATTTTGAAATATTTATTTTTTCCTCTTAATTGTCTTGCAAAATTTACAATTACTAATTTTCCCTTACAATTGAATTGTGCTTTCTCTCTCTCCAAATTTAATAACTTTAAATAATTAATTATGACAATATTTAAATAAATAATTTAAAAATATTTTTTGAAATTGGTACAATTTACCAAAAAAAACATGAATTATATTAACTAATTTATCTCTTATTATATTAAATCCTATTTCATTAAGTTTTTTTACATGTGTGTTTGAAATATTATTTTGGTATTTTAGATGATTTTTAGGCAACATTTATGTTTGAAGAAGAGTATTTTGATCCAATAAATGTGACCTAATAGTCAACTAATGGTTTTGGTAGATGGAAATGAAATCTTTAAAGTAAAAGGGAGATTTGTGTCTTGTGATTATTGATTCTATGGGAGATTTGTGTAGGTTTTTTAAATAGAAAGGAATATCTATAATATAGTAAAATAGAAGGGAGGTCAATGTATTTTACTTAAAAAAAAAGAGCTAACATTATATATTGTTCATCTAATCCTTAAAGCCACTTTGAAACCAAAACTACCCCAATCCTTATCCTATTTGCTGTCCTATTTCTAAGCCTATGAGTTGGTTAAGTATGAAAAAACTTTGGTGGTGGAGTCTCGACTTGTCTAGATGGAGGTGGAGCAGTCATAAGGGGTATGTTTGCATGTAGGGGTGTGTTTGCATGTGGAATCACTTGGCTTTTTTTAGTTTGAACTTCATTACTTTAGGTACACCTAACTCACTAGGCACATAATAATGTGGATGAGTCATAGAGTTGTGTTAGCTTTATTTCAACCTTTTGTTTTAGTTTTCCTTATTAATGGAGGTACCTACAATTACAAACAAAGTAGTTAATGCTACATTATGTTAAACCATTTATAATATTAATACAATCAAAGCTTGTTGCAAGTGCTCTTACTGTGCCTAAATTCATGACATGAGCTACATTTTTGTGCTACTCCTTTCTTGCTAGTTTGTCTAGAATAGGTTGTGGGAAGTTAGACAAAGCACAACCTTTTGTGATATGTTGGTTTCAACCCATTGGATTGCAATCCCTTTTTTTTTTCTTCTTCATAAGCTTCTTCAATTCTTAGCCTTTTTTCTTGGGTCTTGTAGGCATTTTTTTTATTGCAGGTGGTGTTATAGTCTTGTACCTCTTAGTATTCCAGAATTGCTTTCCTTTAATAGGTTATAGCTTAGTCCTACAGCTTGCATTTTTTGTAGGCTTATAGTAGTAAGCCAAAATTTGGGTGGCTGGTCTATCTTAGCATGGCACATGGCACATATTGCATATTGGCATGAGATTTTAGTTAAATCCCATGCTTGACATGTGCATAATTTATTGTTAAGGTAAACTATATTCCTATCTTAACGTTCATTCACCTCATAACCCTTATTCCGTTAAAGAAGACAATAAATCCCATAACTAAAATCATATTTGATTTGAATAACTTAATGGCCTTGGAATTGAAATTTCCAATCCACCTTATAATTACCTTGTCACTTTTGGCCCATTTGGTCATCATCTTCAATCTCTTATATCCTATTCACATCCTAATGACAGGTAAGTATCTAAATTTATCTATCCATGCATTCAAACTTTCACTAGCATTATTATCTACTACCTAACTTTTACATCTATTAATAAAGTAATCCTTTACCCACGTTTGAGGAGAGTATGATACTAAAGCTTCTGTTGCCTCTTTAGCTTCCTTAAACTTCCAACAGTTTTAAGATTATCCTATATTTGAATTCTTCTTCCTTCCATCTTTTACTCTAATTAGCATATCATACTTGACACATAATCAATGCTCTGCTTAGGATAAAACTTCATTAACAATTGTATTAAGTCCCTAGAAAAATTAAGTTCAGTCACCTATCAACTAAAATCACAGTCATATATATCACACAAAAATTAAATCAGTTTAGTATAATTGAATCGATTTACCTTTTGCATGTCAAACATCAAAGTTATAGTTGATAAATCTCTAAGTTCAAGTGACTTTTATAGCCACTATAAGAGCCACCTTTAGTTTCTAGGATTTTCCTAGCAAGTCAAGCAAAAGCTACAAGGAACAGAGAGTCATTTGCATCTAGGTTACAAGTAGTAAGCAAAATTCTTTTGGCATTCCTTTTTAACAAAGTCCTATCCAAGCCTATAAACGGCCTGCTTCTTTCTATCCAACCTAACACATATAATACATACTTATGATTGGATCAATTACTTTAAATCAACAATAGAAATACATATTTATAACACAAGAGTCATATCTTGGATGCATTGAAGCAAAGATAAGTGTAAGTGAACACCCTATTACCTTTTTCAAGTTCTTCCCTACTTAGTTCCATACTTACATTAAACCTAGGGTTTGAAGTTCTTAGTTCATTGTAGTAAGCCTTAAGTTTCTTTTGCTCATCTATG